AGATCATGTCAGAGTTGGAGATTCTGTACAAGGTGGGTGGATTTGACCATTTTTATTATTCCTGTTTCCATTTTCTCGCAGCGGATTTTAAAGTATTTGTGGTTTTTTTCTCTCTCTCTCTTTTCTCAGTGTGACTCCTCGTACATCATAGGATTTTATGGCGCTTTTTTTGTGGAAAACAGAATTTCCTTGTGTACAGAGTTCATGGATGGTGAGTGGTGTGTCCAGTTTGATTACTGAGTGATCACTGTCCACATCTGTTATATCTGTGTGTACATATATATATGTATAACTGTGTATGTATTTTATATATACACATAAAATGCATAAAAATATATTGATAATAGTTATAAATATTTATATATTATATATATAAATATATTGTATAGTATGTATTATATAATATAGAATATGTATTTTATATTATGTATTATGTGTTATATATTTTATGTTATACAGTATGCATTATGTATTATATATTCTATCTTCTAAAATATATATTGTATTTCATATTCCACATACTACACATTATGTATCATATATTATATATAATTATTTTATTATACATTATGTACTATGTATTATATATGTGAAATACATATAAATATATTTATAATAGCTACAACATATTTTATAAATACTTTAAATATTTTGTATTTTATATACTATATGCTACATATTATGTACTATGTATCATATATTATATATTAGTAGCATTATATATATTATATATCATGTATTGTATATTATAGGTTATCTAATATACATTATTATATTATAAATACATATAAAGATAAATATGGTTCCCCCATTTTTGGGGGCAATGAAATGCTGTGGTATGACTTGAAAATGGAGAGTGTTACCAACATTGCAGGCGGTTCAGGGTCAGCTGTCTCTGACACCATTCTTGTTCTATCACTGCTGCCATTTTTATTCATTTTTATTAACAAATTGAATTTTTATGTATTTTATTAATAAAAATCAGTGTTTTTATTAATGACCAAGGCCTGGAAAACCCTCAGGGCTGCAAATCTGGGGCGCTGTTTGGTGTGGCATCAGCTGAGCCTGTGCTGTTTGTCCCTGCAGGGGGTTCTCTGGATGTTTACAGGAAAATCCCAGAGCACGTTCTGGGCAGGATAGCAGTGGCTGTAAGTACCTCCATTGCTTTTTGTCTCCCAGTTTTTTGTTGTTCGTGTGTAAAAAAATCTCGGATTTGAGTCAAAAATCTCAGATTTGACAGTTCCTGGGCCACTGAGGCATTTCCAGGATCTGTGTCCTGATGGGMAAGGAGGATCCCTCCTCTGTGCTGCTCTTCCAAACTGTTCCCTGTGTGCAGGGGTTCTGGGATTGAGGAAAACTTCGTTTGGAGTGACCAACACAGGGAGTCTGAAGGGTCATGGGATGATGGGAGAGAGGGGATTGCTCTCCTGTGAGGAAATGGTGGGAGAGCTGGGAATGTTCCCCTGGAGAAGGGAAGGATCCAGGGAGAGCTCAGAGCCCCTTGGCTTCAGGAGAGCTGGAGAGGGACTGGGGACAAGGGATGGAGGGACAGGACACAGGGAATGGGGAGATTTAGATGGGATACTGGGAAGGAATTCCTGGCTGGGAGAGTGGGGAGGGGCTGGGCTAGAATTCCTAAAGTAGTTGTGGCTGTGCCTGGATCCCTGGAAATGTCCAAGGCCAGGCTGGAGCACTCTGGGATAGTTCCTGTTTGCTGTGAGACCCTCCAGGAGAGGGGGAATCTCTCCTTCGTGCTGGTCTGTATTTGTGGGAAGGGCTGGGGTGGTTGGGAAAAGGAAACTCGGGAGCCCCATGGGGACACTGTGGTCACTCCAGGCTGGGTGCTGCTGTGGTCACCCCTGGCTGGGTGCTGCCATGGTCACTCCAGGGATATTTTGCTCTATCCTGGCTCAGGCTGTGGGGCTGAAACCCCCCTTTCCTCCCGTGTTTTTCCCTTCCCACCATTCCCATCCCAATTTCCCCACCGTGTCCAGAGCAGGGACATCGTGCCCGGATCCCAGTGCTGGAGCTGATGGAATCTCTCCCTCCCTCCTGGTGTTGATGGAAGCTCTCCCTCCCTCCCTCCCTCCCTGCCAGGATCGCACTTGAGCTGTCAGGGAGCGCTGATTGACAGCAGGGGAGGCACTTTGTGTGTCAAGGCTTTGTCACYGCATTGTTGTGAAACCTCCCTCGCTCAATGCCAGCAATTCCTGCCCCGCTCCATCACAAGGCACTCCCTCCCTGCACCCTTTGAGGAGGATATTTGCTTTCCCTTTTAGGTTCTTATTTAATTCTCCTTTTAGGATCACATTTAATTCTCTTTGTAGAATTACATGTAATTCTGCTTTTAGGATGGTATTTAATGCTGCAGAGCTCTTCCCCAACAGGCATTAAATGTGAGGRGAGTGGGGAATGATGAGTCCAGCTGGGGGATCCTCTGATGCCAGAKCACCTAAAGAAAAGGCTRGRCAAAATTCAGAGAATCMAARGCAGTTCTATTTATTGCAGGGCCTTCAGRTCCATTCAGGGCAGTCGCAGCCCWCCCAGGAGGAKATGCAKGAGGAAAACCTYTYTGGAATGGATTCASTGGCACYTAGRGATGGGAAGTGTCCAAAAATCCAACTGGATGGCCTGAAACATGTAAAATGTGTTGGTTGAATTTTGTACTGGAGTAACTGGTTTGAAGTTTGGCTTTTGCAGCTTTGGTGGTGGAAGCAGCAAATTCTGAAATAGCAAATTTTGGAATTTTTGAAATAGCCGGGCACCCTCTGCTCACATTTGGGAGTTGTATTTACTTCTAGGAATTGCATTTTAGGAGTTGTATTTCATTTTAGGAATTGCATTTTAGGAGCTGTAGTTCATTTTAGAAACTGCATTTTACGAGTTGCATTTACTTTCAGGAATTGCATTTTAGGAGTTGTAYTTCCTCTSTATGGGATACTTTAGGATTTGTGTTTGGTTTTTTGAGTAAAAGGGAGAACAAGGGAATTTTTACAGTCAAGAAGTTGCACATTTGCAGTGAGCAAATAAAAGCCTGGGGAATGCAGGAAAAGACACAGGATGCAGAAGATGGAAAGGAAGGGAGGATGGGGTGCAAGAGGCTTTTAGGAATTTTCTTGTTTTCTGACCTTTCWGTTGCAGGAGGACAAATCTTTACATCCTTTCATGATTTTTAACACCCCAGCACAGACAAAACTGAAATTACAACGAATTTAATTCAGTGAATTAAAAATTCACTGAAATACCTGMAGATTTTCACTAAAAATTCAACTGATTTTGGTTTCCAGGTCCTGGGAAGGAATTAATTTGTGTTRTTTCAGGACATGCTGCAGGTTTTTGGCAGGGCTCCCCTGGATGGATGTGGGGTCTCCCCTTCTCCTGGTCCTGGCTCCATTCTGGGCTCTCTGATGTTCCACCCCAGCTGAATTGTTGGATTTTTTTCCCACCAGGAATCCCTAAAATGTGGTATTTTTTTCTTTTAACTCCAGGTTGTGAAAGGTCTGACCTATTTATGGAGCCTGAAGATTTTGCACAGAGGTRAGTGGTGGATGTTTTCTGTTTTCCAGTGAAATTTTAACACCTCTTGACCAAGCAAACATCTGCTTTGAGTCCAGTGGGGCAATGCAGAGTGAATCCTGCTCATTAACCTTGCTCACTTCCTTGTAAAATATTTTTATTGCTCCTTTATTGCCCTCCCTTCTGCCCTGGAAAGAAAAGGATTGGAGAGAGAAAGGGATTTTACAGGGATTTAGGGCTGCAAACAGGTGCCCAGTGGAGAAATCAGTTTGACTGGTTTTGGAAACAGAAAATAGGCAAATAGTGAATTTTCAGAAATCTCATGTGACAGCTTTTCAGAAATCTCATGTGACAGCCACAAGTGTTGCTGGAAGCCCAGATCTCTGAAACTGTAACCACTGCCATGGCCATGGGCAGTGAAAGGCTTTAAACGTCCTTGGATAGAAATAATTTTGGGGTTTTGCCTTTTGTTCTCTTTCCTGCAGCTGATTTGGGGGAGTTTTTAAAACTTCTCCTTTATTTCTTACTTTTTCCTGGTACATTTTGTTTAAGACGTGTCTGTTTGGTTAAGGGTAACACCACAATTATTATTGTAGGGTAAGAGCAACACTGCAATTATTGTTGTAGTGTAATTCCAATACACTAAAACTTACGTGGCAAATGCTGTGTAAAGCACAAAGAAGCCCCTTCCCTCTACACCAACCCCCCCAAAAAAAGGAAAAAAAGGAGAAAGTCATGACATTTTTAATGTTTTCAGTGCCTGGAAGAAGCTGTTCTGGTTGCTGATGGGGCTGTGCCATYCCCTCCCTGTCCCATGTCCCCAGCTGCCWCATCCACACTGTTTTTAAACACTGGAGRCTCCTGTGCCAGRGCTGGACACCCTTTTCCTGTGCAGAAATGTTCCCTGGTGTCATCAATCCTCCCCTGGCACATTTTCGGGATGTTCCCTCTCACCTTTTGTCCTCCAGACTGAAGGGCTGCCCCTGGGTTTGTCACTGGGCTGGATAAAAGGACAGGAATGACCCAAGCAAGAGGAGGAACAGGCTGGGGCTGGAGCTGCCACAGGAATTGTCAGAGCTGTAAATAGGAAAGGAAAGGCAGCAGGAATATCCACGTGGGTATGGAATAGGCACACAGTCATTGCCACACTTCTATAAAACACACAAAAATATTTTTTAATTTTTTTTTTTTTTATTTTCTCTGGCCACCTTCTGGCTGTGATTTGGAGAGAACATAAATGCTGTGACGTTTTCTCATTCTGCTGCTGCACATTTAGAGCCTGGTTGAGATTTTTGCTGTGCCAGTAGAACACAACCTGCCCTTCTGCCAGGGTTTCCTTGCCTGGACTGAGGTGTAACTCGGGGGTTTTGATGAATGAATGGTGGTTGATCCTCGCTGTGGTCTGGGGAAAAGCACAAAACGTGATTTTTCATCACATTTCTGATTCTTCTGGCCTTGCTCTGCTGCTGGGCTGAACCATCAGGAGCATTCCAGGCTCAGCAGCTTCCCAAGGATTGGTTTTGGTGTTATTTTACCCATTTTTTAGGACAGAAAATGTGTATTTCTGCATCCTCCAAACAGAGACAGAGGGGTGCAATGCAAGGCAGATGATTATCGTTCTAGGTGATTCCTTCAGCTGCCCCCTGCTCCAAGGGAAAGAGAGGAATTTTGAATCCTGATTTCCTTGGTGTTTCATCCAGGGCAGAGCAAGGGCTGTGGAGAGTCGGGAATCTCTCCAGAATTGGCGAAGCTGGAGAGTTGGAATTCCCAAGGAATTGGTGAAGCAGTGCCAGGGCAGAGCAGGGGCTGTGGAGAGTCGGGAATCTCCAGAGAAGGGATGAAGCTGGAAAGTCAGGAATTTCCCGGGAATTGGCGAAGCTGGAGAATCAGGAATTCCCAAGGAATTGGTGAAGCGGTCCCAGGGCACAGTGGGGGCTGTGAAGAGTCGGGAATTTCCCGGGAACTGGCGAAGCTGGAGAGTCGGGAATTCCCAAGGAATTGGTGAAGGGGTCCCAGGACAAAACAGGGGCTGGTGGGGAGTCAGGAACTAGTGAAGCTGGAGAGTCGGGAATTTGCCGGGAGTTGGTGAAGGGGTCCCAGGGCAGAGCAGGGACTGTGGAGAATCAGGAATCTCCCGGGAATTGGCGAAGCTGGAGAGTCAGGAATTCCCAAGGAATTGGTGAAGCGGTCCCAGGGCACAGTGGGGGCTGTGGAGAGTCGGGAATTTCCCGGGAACTGGCGAAGCTGGAGAGTCGGGAATTTCCCGGGAACTGGCGAAGCTGGAGAGTCAGGAGTCCCCGGGAATTGGCGAAGCGGGAGAGCCGGGAATCCCCGGGAATTGCTGAAGCAGTGGCAGGCAGTGCCCAGTGCCCGGAGCGGGGTTAAAGCCGCTCGGGGATCCTGCCCGGAGCGGGGTTAAAGCCGCTCGGGGATCCTGCACGGAGCGGGTCCGGTGGTGCCCGGCTCCGGCTGTGCCGCCGCTCAAACGCCGCCGCCGCCGCGCATGAAAGCGGAGCCGCGCTAATGAGGTGACAGCCGCGCGTGTTAATGAGCCCGAGCCGCAGCCACCGCAGCCACATCAAACACGAGCACGAGATTAACACCTCCGCCGAGCCTGGGGAAGGTGTGAGAGCCGCMCCGCGATCAGCGTGCTCCGCTCCCCCGAGGATGAGAAGTAGAAATGGAAGGGTAATGAGAAATTAACTTAGATTTAAGACGGAATTAGCAATTAAACAAGTCTAATCATGTACAAAGTCAAAGTTGGGATGAAGACGAGCTGGAATCTGTTAAGTTCAAGGATAAGTACAGACCGTGTGCATTTTATCTGCATTTTATCCTCTGTTCACACCTGCTTGTTGAAGGGAGTGCAGGGAATCAGTGTTACCCATTTGTGTTTAATTGTGCTGWGCGGGTGGGTGTGCTCGCCTGGCTGAGTGATGGTGGTGTTTCTGTGTATTAACACGGATATATTTRTATTTTTTTCATGGTTTGGGCACCTCGCTTCCTGGTTAGGTATTAAATTGGTGTAAAGTGTTGCGGTGTTGTAACTGGGAGAGCAGGGGATCTGGAGATCTCCTGCCTTGGAGATCTGGGCATCACTCAGAGCCTGTCCTTTCCCCCAGGATGTCAGAAACCCTCAGTGTTCCAATCCTCTTTGTTTTGGATCAGCTGGTGATGTCTAAATCCAGCTCACCCAAACCAGAGGCTGGACAGAATTGAGAGAATCCAAAGCTGTTCTGTTATTGCAGGGCCTTCAGGGCCATCCAGGGCAGTCCCAGCCCAGCCAGGGGTGCACCCACAATGGACAGTGGTGACTCACAGGATTTTCACCCTTTCTTACTTTTGTCCATTTGCACATCGGGGCTGAATCCTCCAATTGCAGCTGCAGCCAATGCAGTCATTGACTCCAAGTTTGCTACCCCCAATTCTCTGTTGTTTCCATCTCCTGGCACAGTGAGGTGTCCTTGAGTTTGGGGCTGCAGAGGAATTGTTTTGTCAGAAAATGGGAGAGCAGGAGCTCAGCACTGGATATGGAGTCTGGAGTTAAACACTAAATAATTACAGGGTCACAGACACGTGAAAATAGAGAAGCTGAAATCCTGAGGCATCACTTGGGATGTTGGCTGGGAGGGACAGGCCCAGGATGAGCATTCCCATCCTCTTCCCATGATTGTTCACTGAGGGTTTCACCAGAACCCTCGTCTTTGACTGCCCCCGCTCCTGTTTTCCTCTCTGTGAGGGATAATCAGTGTCAGGGCCACGTGTGATGGGTRTAGCATGTGAACACAAATAAAAAATGTATAAAACACCCATCCAGGGGTGGCTGTGGCTGTACCAGCCTGCTCTGGGGGAGGTGTCCCTGGGCACAGGATGAGCTTTAGGGTCCCTTCCCGCCCAGCCCATCCCAGAATTCTGTGTTTCCACACGTGTATTTATGTCTGTATACATGTATTTATGTCTAAATGTGTGGCTAAACACACACGAGCCCACTCATGGACCACTTAAGGCTTATTTAAAATGAACCACTTAAGGCTTATTTAAAAGAAAAAATAATCCTGGCCTCAGCCCAACCCCGCTGGTGCCTTCCTTGAACCCGGCCTGTTGCTGTTTGCTGTTTCTAAAAGGCAGGAGGAGTCAAGAGACAGCTTTTAAAGGCTCTCAGGGCTTTTTTTTCCCCTCTCYCTCACACAATCGTGAATCTGTTTGCTTTTCAACGCCGCAGATGAGTGAAATGTTTGGTGTTGGAAAAGCTGAACCCCTGACAGTTCTATTTAGTGGGGAGTGGAGCTCGCAGGTGCTGTTTGTTTGCAGAGAGGTGCCACTCCTCGGGCAGCTCCATCACCAGCAGAACTGATCCACCCTCCCTAATGCCGCCCCATAGAAATCGTTTGTGTGGAGGCAGCCCCGGTAATGGGGTCCTAATGACCCCTTTTGGCTCTCGTGGAAATTCTCCCACTTCTGAGCACCGATATTAATCACAGGCAGATGGTGCAGAATATTATTTACACACATTCATATCCCAAACTCCCCCTCAAAAAAAAAATATTTAACCCATTAGCTGAAGTGGGTGAGGAAAGCAAAAGGCTGTTTTAATTTGCTGATCTACCTCCCTGCTTCCACCAGGAGAGATTTTTTGAAGGGTTCTCACTTCCTTTTCTTTTTGAGGGAATGAACACAACCATTGGAATATTTTATGAAATTCCCCGGTTTTGTGGTGCTGTCTCAGTTCAGCTGGAAGGACAGCTTGGGTTTGTTCTTTCAGGGTTTGTTTGACTGCACTGTGCTCTGTGCACATCCTTAATGGATCCATTGCCTGGTGCTTCTTTCCTTTTAGGGTTTTCTCTTCTTTTCAGCTTCGTGGGCTGCTCCTGGAGAGCACAGAACAGCCCTGTCCCCACTTTCTTTGGCATTGGGGCAGTCAGCATTGGGATATTTATGCCAATAATCTGGGTTTGTGCTGGACAGTGAGGGTTTGGCTGATGGTTTTAGGGCTTTGCTGGCAGTGTCTCCCTGCAGAATCCCTCAAACATCGAGGTGGGAGCCAGGAGGAACGGCGATCCCAAAGCAGAGGTGCAGGGTCAGTCCCTGCACTCTAAATGCAGCACTTCCATCCATCCCTAAGGAATTCCTTCGTTTTTTTGGGCTGATTTCCCATTTTGTTACAATCCCTGTGAGTTCTGTTCCTATCCCTCAGTGCACTGGAATCCTCTTCCAGACTGGTGTCACCTGCAGGTTTAATAATGGGGATTATTGGTATTGTGTAAAGGCATGTGTGTAATAACCACGTTTGTATGGAGAGGATATATTTTTAATTTTATATATTTTTTTTATTTATTTAATTTATAATATTACATTCTAGTATATCATTATAAATTTATCCAATTATACAATATATAATATATACAATACAATATAATATGCTATAATTATAATACCTAATAATATTGAATATTTATATATAGTAATATATTAATTTTATAATTATAAATATATAAATAAATTTATTTTTATTTATTTAAATTTTTTTATTTATTTATATATATATATGAAATGTTATCTGTGCTGCTGGTACAGACCTTATTACAAACATTATATATGCATTTGAAATAGATATTTGTAATATTTCCTAGCAAAACCCACCATTCCAATATTCACAGTGCTTCCTGGATATTTGGGGTTGGCCTGTGTAAGTCCAGGAGCTGGATTTTGATGTGATCCCATCCAACTGAGGATATGCCATATTTCTGTATATATTCCATGTATATTTTCCGGGATAATACGAATAATCCCATTTTCTCCACCAAAACAGATGTGAAGCCCTCCAACATGCTGGTGAACACGCGGGGCCAGGTGAAGCTCTGCGACTTTGGGGTCAGCACCCAGGTAATTCCCACCTCGGCTCCCTCCCCGCTCCCTTTGTAGGGCCGGGATCCCCGCAGCCAACCCCTCTCTGCTGGGACAACCCTATTCATCCCGAATCTCYGGRCGGCTTCGCCTCCATCCCAGCGCGATTGTTCATTGTTTAATGGCAGCAAAAACCGCTGATATTGTAATTACTACTAACGAATAGCCCCCCTCATTGATATGCAGCTTTGATCCGGGAGCGCTCGGGCCAGACAAAAGGGAGGGCAGAGCCGGGGCCGTGCCTGGGGAGCCCAACTGGCCCACGATAAAAATTAATATTGGGAGCGACAATGGTGCGGGGCTCCAACAATGCGCGCCACCAATTTTAATTAATTTCCATTTTTTGGGCCTCCCCGGAGGAGCTCTCCGCCGGTGACCCACGAGCTCGCCGCGGCGGTGATTTGAATTTCAGCACCTTTTCCTCCTCCCAGCCCTACACGGCGCRCGGAGAGAAGGTCAGCCTGGTATTATGGGCTGGCGGGGGATGCTGTCCCTCCAGCGCTCCTCGCATTCTGGGATGAATCAGAGGGTTTTATTCCCATCTTGAGCCAGCTGAGTGAGGAAAACCAGAGCTCTCGGTCCTCCTCGCAGTTGATTTTTTTTCTGTCAGGCTGGTTTGGGGTAGTAAAGCGAGCGGCAATCCCGTTTCACACCATTGTTTAAGGTTATCTGCCATAAACTCTAACGCGGCGCTCGCTTAAATTGGAATCCTCGTTCCCAGCCCCGGCGAGATTTAATAATTTCGAACGCCTTGGCAGATAAATTTGTTCCCCCCCCACCCCTTACATAATTTTTCGTTGATTTATAGGGATGCCGAGCGTAGGTTAAACGAGGAATAATTGCCCATTTTATTTCCACATTATCTTTATATGGTTCTAACAGACTGTTTTGCCTGATAGCTGGTGAATTCCATCGCCAAGACGTATGTTGGAACAAATGCTTATATGGCGGTAAGTGGATTGATGGAGGAATAACGTGGAAATTAAATCATTTATTCGTTCTTGTGCTGGCTTGTGCAGCATTTGTCCCGAATCGATCCTCAAGCTCCATTTCTTCCCATCTTCGTTCCGTGGGACAATCCCCTTCTTGTTGAAGGGGAAGAACAATATTGGAAAAGTGGGTTTTTTAATSTATTTTTAGTGCCTTGTAACAACTGAGAATGAGGAGAGGCAGTTGGCCATTCAAAAAAGCCCCAATTTTTCACTCATAACTTGTGGCTCTGTGCAGATCACTGACAGCCCAAAACCATCCACTTTTTTGGGGAATTCTGCAGTTTAGGGAAGCCTTTAAACCTGTGCAGGGGTTGGTGGGCATTCCTAAACACCCCATGGGGATGTTATCCATGGAAATGTGGAGTTGAAAACATTGGGATTAAGAACATCAGAGCATTAAATCGGAAGTGGCATAGTTCGTGATGTGGGAAGTCATCAGTGCTTTCAATTTTCCATGCAAATTTTGTGCTTTCGCTTTTCCATGCAAATTTTGGCCACTCTTTGTTAACATGAGACCACTTTTGTCCCATTTCTGCACRTGAAAGCCTGAATTCCCATATTTTTTAGATCCCTGGGGTTATTTTGCTAAGGTTGCACCATTTGGGGCAGGGTTTGGGTTCAGAGCTGGCACAAGGTCGGGGTCAGCACGGTGCCAAGAGGCAGCCTGGGAGGAACCCACACAAATCCCTGTGGATTTCCCATCAGATCCATGTGATCCWTTTTAATTCTCCATTCCAGGCATGAAAACTTCCCTGCCTCACTTTAAAGCACTTTATGAACTCATTTTTGGCCATTAAAATTCTTGGGGCAACCTCCTTCCAACATTAACGAGGAGAAAAGAAAAGCTCTGCTTGTTTAAAATAAAAACACAAACAGCACCGAGGGGGTGATGCCTGTGTTTTTCAAGCCTTGGGAAAAAGAGGAGAGAGAAATCCATGACCTTTAATCGCTTTCAGGTGTTTTTTTCTGACTTTCTTGTGGGAAGAAAGCGGCACCGGGCGCCCATTTCTCTGCTAAGTGCTTTTCCTCTCAAGGTGGGCTCATTATGTGGCTCCTGAAAGGCTYGTGGCACCATCCTCCAAAGACTGGGGCTGTCCTGGGGCATCAGAATACTCGGCAGAAAAATGGGATTTTTTAAACAAAGAAAAACAGATTTTAAAAAAAGAAAAACTGGAATGCAGAGATCCAGACAAAGCAACAGCTTCAAATTAATCAACTTTTCCAGCTCAGCTGTTACTTCAGACCGRTCTTAAGCAGGGCTGAGAATTAAATCGTGTTACGCTTTTAGTGCACACACGCCGAGATTACAGCTCTCTTTCCCAGGTGTACATTAAATAAATTGCTTTTTTTTTTTTTTTTTGCCTCCTTGTTTCTGCTTGAATGTGATGCCTCTGTCTCTGAACTGGGAGAGAGGAGTTTAAAATGGGCTTGAGCTGATTTTCTGTGTTAAAATTATTTTGCTTCTTGATTGAGTCGTAAGGTGTCGTCGGATTTTTAGGCAAGACCTCAAAAAATGATGAAGCTTTGGTTCGCCCACTTGGCACACTGTCAGTGAATTTGAAACTGTTTTTTAAAAATTGAGGTTTTCTTTGAAATAACAACAGAAAAAAAAGGTTTTTGATTGAGAAATTAAAATTTCCAACCAAAACACATTTTAGCCAAGACCTCAAAAAATAACAAAGGTCATGAGCTTTGGTTCAGCCACTTGGCAGGTTGTCAGTGGATTTGAAACTGTTTTGAAAATTGAAGGTTTTTTTAAAAATAACTGGGGAAAAAAAGCTTTTTGATTGAGAAATTAAAATTTCCAACCAAWATACAATTTCTGTAAAAYCATTCAGTTACCACTTTATATAGAAAAAAAATGGATGAAAAAATAATCAGTTGTGGAAATTTTTAAGARAAAATCCTTTGGGCTGTGTATCCTCAGTGATCCATGTGTTGCACCCATTATGCATCTGTTTTTCCTATTTTCTTCTTCTTTTCCACACTTTTAAATCCACGTGAGTGCATTTTTTTTAATTTTAAAACCCAATTTACTTGCCCTTATCTTTTGGGAACCCATAATTCCTCAATAGAAGTTGCTGTTCAGAGCTTGAACTTTAGGAATAAACAATTCAATATCACTCAGTGGGAATTAAAAACTKGATTTGGTGGCTTGGGAAGGGGCTAAAAAATTTGGTGGGCGTGCCCAGGTTGGCCCATCCCACATCATGTTATAAAAGCATTTTTGGCTGTACTTATGCATCTTTTTGAGAGTGTTTTTCAGTATAAAAAGTTGCTTAAAAAGCACAGTAATACTGTGGTGAATGTTTGTGAGATATACTGAGCTGGGCTAGTTATACTCAATTAATTTWAAAAAAAAATGTAAGAAGGTAAAACAGGATTTTTTTTTTGGTTGCTTATAAATAAGATTTGCTCAAAAATCTTTTGCTCCAGTGGAATCTGGGCGGATTTGGGGTTTGTGGCAGTCAGGGAATGTTGTTTGGAGAGGGACCGTGGTTTTTATTTAACGCTCACGCTGCGCTAAAAGCGCCTGACCTGRGCTCGACAGCACAGAGCAAACATCCCAAACCACGCTGGGCTGGCAGTGATTTGGGAATTCCTTCTCCTGCCAGAGCTCTCTGGGTTATTGAGGGCTGCAAACAGAGGCAGTGCTGTGGAGGAGGCTGGGCCAGGCAGGTGCATTAGCAGCACGGCGGGGAGAGGAGGCTCGGGGAGCCTTTTATCGGCGCATTTCCTGCTGCACTTGACCTTGGAAATGCTGGAATTGTGGCTTTCAAGGAAAAAACAGTTTAAAAAAAACAAAAAACAAAACCTGTAAAAAATATTAACAGCAGCCTGATGAAACAGAATGCTGTAAAAGAGTTTGGAGCAGGGACTTTTTATTTTCCCTACAGGTCAAAAACCTGAAATTAAGGAGTGGATAAAATAGAGCTTCCACCACGTGGCTTCAGTGGTTTTTGGGCTTCAATAATTTTGCTTTTTAAGTCAAAGTTCCTCCCCAGCCCCTGGATTCTGTGACCCTAAGAGCTCCAGGAGGGGTTGGACAGCTCTCCCAGGGATGCACAGGGTGGGATTTTGGGGTGTCTGTGCAGAGCCGGGAGCTGGACTTCGATCCCTGTCGGTCCCTCCCAGCTCCCAATATTCCATGTTTTTTGCTCTTTTTTGCTCCTTCCCCTGGAGCAGCTCCCTTGCAGTGTTTCTGTGTGTCTGCAAGGCTCAGGGGTTGTTTCTCTCCCTCTCTCTCTGCAGCCTGAGCGGATTTCGGGGGAGCAGTACGGGATCCACTCRGACGTTTGGAGCCTGGGCATTTCCTTCATGGAGGTACGCAGAGTGCTCTGCACCTTGCAGGGCTCAGATTCTCTCTTAATCCCAAAATATTTTCATGTAACCTTTAAATTTTTTGGTGTATTTATGAGCTTTTCCCAGCTGCTTAATTTTGGCTGTATTTAGAATGGGTTTGCTCATTTGAGGTCTTGAAAAAAATTCCATATTGGGGTAGGAAGCAGGGCCTGGTGTGTGGATAATTCTGCATCCAGGGTCTGAAAATGATGTTATTTTGGGGTTCCATCTTGCCAGTCAGGCCAGAATTAGCAGTTATGGGGATTAGAGCAGATTTTCTGACTCCAGAACAGGTTCTTGGCATTGCACAGATCCCAGGTTGGAGCTGCTTGCAAACCTTGACAGGAATATTTTGCACCATGAGTGGAGCCTCTACCCCGGGTGATTAAATGCGTGTTTGGATTTAAGGGTTCACAGGGGCTTTTGGGAAAGATTCCTCACCAGCAGGGTTTGCAGCAGGAGCAAATCTGTGAGAATGGAGACATTCAGAGGGAATGGGGCAGGAAATTGTGGGGTTTGGGGAGTGGAAATGGAAAAGATCTTTGGGGTTCCTCCCAACCCAAACCAGTCTGGGGTTCTCAGTGCAGCCATGGTTGCTGCAGTTTTGGGTCAGTTTATTCAGGAAAAAGGGGTTTATTTTCAGTTTAAAGCTTATAATTGTGTCCCAGGAGGACTTGGCTGTGGTGCTCTTGGGGATAAAAGCAGTGATACAAATACAGGATTTTATAAATAAAGCATTTCCTTCTTCCTTTGCTGAATTCCAAASAGTGTCCCAGCAGTCCAGTGTTCCACCACACAGACCAGAACATTTGGGGTTTGTTTTGGGTCCATCAGTGCAGAACCCAGCTGGTCACTGCTTCCACGTGCAGGGGCAATTGTGCATGATGTTAATGCTGAATATCAAAATATTTTAATGCAACCCTTTTACATCCTTTCAATTTCTTGTGTATCTATAAGCTTTTACCAGCGGCCGCATTTTGGCTGTGTTTAGAATGGGTTTGCTCATTGGAGGTCTAAAAATGGAATTTTATTCAACCCAGCATTAGGAAAACTCCTTCCATTTGCATTTCCCCCTCTCTYTTACACCTTCCCAACTTTTTTTCCCTTTCCTGCTCTCACTTTCCGTGGCTGCCTCCTGAGCCAGATGTGCAGAAACCAATTTGGGGCCGGGCGCTCCGTTAATTGGTTCCTCAGCCGCTCCTGCGAGACCTCTCCCCACCAGGAGAGGCTTTGTTGGAGTGCTCCGAGTGATGTGTGAAATGATGAAAGCGGGGCCAGGGGCTCGGGGAAACGCCTCCAACCAGGGGACAAGGGGCTGCAGGGGCCACCCGAGGTCACGGTCATTACGGCAGCACCACATCGACCCCGGGCAGCAGCGGGGACAGCCGGGCTGGMACTGGGGGAGCTCTGAGAAAGGGGAGCTGGGCTTTGCTGGGGGATTGGAACCCATCCCYACTCAGGTTCCAGCCCCACACCTCRGTGGGACCACGTTGATTTAAAAGGAATAACATGGGGATTGAGGTAGCCAGGGCTGTGCTGGTGTGTGAGAGGATAAGATAAAATTGTCAGCAAATCTTGTTTTCCTTGGTGCTCTTCTGAGCCTTTCACACATCTGGGATTTCTGAGTTTCAGAGCTGGGTGGGATGAGAAGTGGAGGTGTTGTTTGGAAGTTTAAGGAAACTGCCCCAAAATCTTGCCTGGAGAGGGTGAAAAGTCTGGAATGGGAGTTCTGCCTAAGCTTTGGGAAATGGGGAGAAATTCGTGTTCCTTTTGAGGCAAGAGGTGTCTGGGGGGGCTCAGTCTTCCCTTCAGAAATAAAAAAAAAAAGTAAGCAAAAATTAAAATAGAATAGAAGAAGATATGCAGCTGGATCATCATTATCATTATTATCATCACTATTATTATTATTATTGTTATTGTTACTACTATTTWTTTTTTTTTTAGTTTGTCTTCCTTCCTTCAGCATTTTCCTGAAGGGAATGGAATTTAACAAACACCCTGGAAAAACTGCTCAGAGGTGTTCCCTCACAAACAGTGTGTGTGTTTTCCTGAGGTTTTCCATGTTTTATTTAAGTGCTCTGGGGTTGACAGAGTGAGTTCAATTTAAACCCGTGCCATGGCTGTCACTACACCCATTTATAAAAGCTGTTTCCATTTATAAAACCCTGCTTTTCCAGGGTTTTTAACTCGCTCCTAAAACACTTGCAGGCTGCCTGAGTGTGGAACCTGTCCCCTCTCCCCAGGAGCTGTGTCCTGCAGAGATTAAATCCCCAATATTCCTTGTGGCTCCTCAGCAGGACTCTGATCCCACCACACCATGGCTGATGGCCACGAGTGACCTTTGAAACACCCAGGGAAGGATAAAAACCATCTGGGTGGGATTTAACAGCTGGGCTGGGTGGGCTTGGAGCAGYCTGGAGTGGTGGAAGGTGGGAAATGAGCTTTGAGGTCCCYCCCAGCCCATCCTGGGATTCTGTGATGGGATCCTGGGATGGCCTTGCCAGTGCTCAGTTTATCTCCAGATAGAATTGGTTGATTCTGTTAAATGCACGAGGTAAAAGTAGTTTTCTTGTGCCCCAGACTGGGTTTTGGGAGTAGAAGATGAGCTCCCAGCCTTGGCTGATGGAGTCTCTCTGCTCCTCCTCCTCCTCCTGTGCCAYTTCCTGCTCTCTGCATTCCACTCCCCTCTGTTTTCCCAGGTTCCAGGCCTCCTTTGAAAATTAAATTTTCTTACAGAGTTTGAGGGGTCTGAAATGTGGGAGCAGTTCCATCTCCTCAGCTGGGAGGTGAAGGTGGCTTGAGGTCAGGGCTGTGAGCTGGTCTGAGGGAGGTTCTGCAGGTGTCCCTGAGCTGAGGGTGCTGTGGGGGCTCTCTGTCAGTGTGACCTGAGCCAGGGGTGCAGCTCTGGTGCCTGGGGACACAACCTCATGGTGGCTCTGTGGTGGTGATGGTTGGACTTGGTRCTCTTGAAGGTCTTCTCCAACAATTATTCTGTGATTAGTGGTGGGGGCAGAATGATGATCTTGAAGGTCTTTTCCAGTGTAATTATTCTGTGTTTGTTAGTTAGTGCTGGAGGCAAAATCTGAAACCCAGAGCTTGGGGGTGCAGCCCCATTTTTGTAGTGGAAGAAGATTCTGGAAGAAACAGCCCCAGCTTGTACCAGCTGAGGACAAGTAATGCTCGTCCTTTGGGATGGAGGAAAGCAAAATATAAAAATAGKGTTTTTATTGCTGTTGTTCTTGCAGTGAGCCTCACCTTGTTGCTGTCAGATTTGAGGGACCCAATGTTGGTGATTGGTGACAGCTCCTGGTGCCCAGGCAGGGAGGGGCTGGCGCGTGCAGACCTCGCTTGCAGCTCAAATCCTTCTTACCGAGGACCATTTGTGGAATATTCCTCAATAAGAATACTCAGCCCTGCTGTGCAGAGTGATGCACTTCAGAAACTCCTTCTTGGCAAAAAGCTGGTCTGTATTTTTTACCCCTGGAGCTATTTGGGGTGGTTTATCCAAGCAGCGCCTGTTCCCTCTGCTTCCTTTCCCACCTCCAACCCCACAGGGATGGGCACAGACCCCGTCCAGCCCCACGAGGATGGGCACAGACCCCGTCCAGCCCCATAGGGATGGGCACAGCCCACATCCAGCCCCACCAGGAGCCCAAGGATGTTGGGATCGGGAGCAGAGGCACCCATGGGGATGGACAGCCCACATCCAGCCCCACGGGGATGGGCACAGACCCTGTCCAGCTCCACCAGGAGCCCGGGGATGTTGGGATTGGAAATGGAGACACTCACGGGGATGGGCACAGATCCTGTCCAGCCCCATGGGATGGGCACAGACCCTCTCCAGCCCCACAGGGATGGGCACAGCCCACGTCCAACCTCACAAGGATGGACACAGTCCCCATCCAGCTGCAAAGGGATGGGCACAGCCCATGTCCAGCCCCACGGGGATGGGCACAGACCCCATCCAGCCCCACGGGGAAAGGCATAGCCTATGTTCAGCCTCACGGGGATGGGCACAGACCCCGTCCAGCCCCACGGGGATGTCAGGATCGGCAGCAGAGCCCCAGTGCCCGAGGGCTGGGCCATGAATTAATGATTGCAGCGTGCAGGAGCGGCCCGTCCCCATCCCCGGCTCGGGAGCGGCAGCGGCAGCGGGGCCGCGCCCGGCGGAGCGCTATCAATCACGCAGTGACCAGAACTGGCCGTAATTAGTGTATTTTATGGGCCCGCGCTCCGCTGCCTCGGCGGCACACACGCTCCGCCCGCAGCTCCCGTTAGCCCCGGCGATATTCCGGGATGATTTATCCGCCCGCTGCCCTGGGATGTGACCCGGCGCTCGGGGGGATGGCGAGCGGGGCCGCAATAAAGGGGAAGTTTAGGTACAGTTTGTGCGGGGCGAGACCTCGGCACGGCGGTGGTGTTGCTCAGCCATCGCTCCCGGGCCGCCGCSGGCAGGAAAATAAATAATCCCGTCCTTCAGGCGGGCACGGGGATGGGGGGAATATCAGGGATAACGTCAGCTGGGGGCGTTGGGAATGGCTGTTTTACAGGGAGGGTTACGGGGTTGGTTAGTGGATAGAATAGAATTATATAAAAATACAAATAAATATTATAAAGTGTGTGTGAGGTTGATGAGGCTCTGGCACAGAAGCTGTGGCTGCCCCTGGATCCCTGGAATGTTCCAGGCCAGGCTGGATGGGGTTAGTGGGATGTGTCCCTGCCATGGCAGGATGGATTAGAGGACCTTTCAAAGATCCCTTCGTGCCCAGCCATTCCAAAATCCTCTCTTTCCATGCATTATGCTGTTCTTACTCTGTGTAGTACAGGTGTTTCTGCTTTTAAAAAGTCAGAAATTTGAGAAGTTTCCCTGCTTTTCCCAATGGTTTAACTCCCTTGTCCTGGCAGTTGATCCCCACTCCAGCAGACATGCAGAGCAGCTGAAGCTGAGCTGAATTTCCAGCCAAATTTAGCAGATTTCCCCT